TTTAACCGTCGGGTCACTGGGTCAATTGTTGACCCGGAAAATATATATATATATATATATATATATATATATAAATGATTCCAACATTTTAATTAGTCCATACATTAAAGATCACAAAAATCATGCTAGATAATAATCCAAACATAAAAATATCCAATATTCTTAACAATATTCATAAAACAAATCAAACTAATAGCCCCAAGCTTCTGGATTGTCCGTTTCTCCCGTAAGGGGAACACCGAAAGTGTCAACAAGCTTCCTATTTTGCTCCATATTAGAAGGTTCCTCGGTTGCATCATCATTATTGGTAACACCACCATGTTCTTCTTCATCGTCGTCATCAATAATGTCATGCAAGTTCAATTCTGTACAAGAAAAGTTATTACAAAAAAGGTTATACAATGTTCTATGTTGAAAATAAAATAATGTAATCATTAATTAAAAATATCAAACCCAAATCACAATCTGCAATAACATCCTTCTCAGTGGTAGCATTAGAGGTAAATTCACGTTCAAGAACTTCTAATTCTTCAACCGTTAAAGACGGCGGTTCGTCTTCTAAAATCCAATCGCCAATCTCTTCAAATGACTCGAAACTTATTGGGTCATAGTTCTTCTTCACCTCTTTCCTATAAATATTACAAAGTCAATGTAAACAAATTTAAGCACTAAGTTGATTTGTAGCAGGACAAAAAAAATAAATAAATAAATAAAAAAAAGGCAAGATACCTCTTCCTTAGCTTCAAGTTGTAGTGAACAAAAACAAGATCATTTAATCTTTGATGCTCGAGCCTATTTCGCTTCTTTGAATGAATATGTTCAAATACACTCCAATTTCTCTCGCACCCCGAAGAGCTGCATGTTTGGCTTAAAACTCGAATTGCAAGTGTTTGCAAATTCGGAGCACTTGAACCATAGCATCGCCACCACTCATCTAATACGATTGTATAGAAAAAATAAAGAATTAATAATAACTTGAAAACTATAAAAAACATGTAAATTAAAAAATTAAGTTATTACCAGGCATCATTGTGCTACGACTGTTCATTGCAAGTTTTCTTCCAAAATCCCCTTCTGCACGTCTAAATGTTGTCATTTCACTCGATAACTTCAGACCAAGTTGGCTATCATGGTAAGTGTATTTTTCTATTACATCAAGAACCCCAGAGACAGTGCTTTTATGCTTCTTCATCAATTCACTGTCATATTGATAACTTGGATTAAACCAAAATCCAGCAGCATGAAGGTTTTTCCTTAATTGATTATCCCACCGCCTATCAAGAATCCTAAGAAACGGCTCAACAAACAATTTTCTTCTTTGAAACCTTTTTATTATCTCGTCTCTAGCTGCATGGAAAGCTGCAAATAGATAACCCATTGCCGGTTTGTCTTCACTATCCACGATTTGTAGAACACGGACCAAAGGTTCAGTAATCTGCACAATATAGCCACAAGATTTCCAAAATCGTGAATCCAAAATAAGATCCACAAACTTTTTTCCTTTACTTTCTCGAGCATGTGTTGAGCTCATCCATTCTCTGGAAGTCACCATGGCTTGCAAAGAAACTTTCTGTGCCAAAATACTTTGCAAAGCAATGAAATTTGTTGCAAATCGAGTTGGGGCAGGACGTAGGATTTCTCTCCCATTAGTATGCTTTCTCATCAAATGCAAAGCAAAACAATGGTTATAAATGAATTTTGTAATTTTGGCAGCATGTTCCACGACTTCCTCCACCTCGTTCAACTTACCCATATCAGCCAACATCAAATTAACACAGTGAGCAGCACATGGAGACCAATAAAGAGTCGGGAATTCTTGTTCCAACAATTTTCCAGCAGCATGATAATTGGCCGCATTGTCAGTGACAAATTGCACAACATTCTGAGGCCCGACTGAGGTGACAATTTCTTTGAAAAGATGGAACAACATTTCACTAGTCTTTGAAGCATCTGAAGCATCCACTGATTTGAGGAACACGGTCCCTTTAGGACAATAAACTAGAAAGTTTATCAAAGTCCTCCTACGTTGGTCAGTCCATCCGTCGGCCATAATTGTACACCCTGTTTCTTTCCAAGTCTTCCGATAAGTGTGAACAAACTCATTTATTTCTTCCACATTTTTCTTTAGCAAGTAACCACGGACGCTCGAAACTCCAGGCGCTTTATAACCAGCACCCATACCAGCTATAGCATCAATCATTGGTTGATAATAAGATGAGTTTGTAGCATTAAAAGAGATATTATTAGCAAACATCCATTTTGCAATGGCGATGTCACACTTTTCCCTCACCTCTTTACTCTGCAACACACTTTTGATGGTGGGTTGGGCTCCAGGAACTGTTCTGGGCATAAAGTACGCTTGCACAGTCTTACTCCCCTTTTCTTTTTGTTTCTCTTTAGTAATAGAGGCCCGACCAAAAGAGCTATGAAGCTCTACAACATCATCACAATACAAGCTTTCATTCGGATAGTCATTACTTTCTTCTTGCTCTTCTCGTATCTTTCTTTTTTTTTTTGGAAAAATCTTCAATGTTGCTCTGAATCTGAAAACGAATATCAGCTGAAACCTTTTTACATGGCTCCACATCTCCTTTTATGCCTGCTAAATGTTGCTTCACCCTATTAATCCCACCTCCTTTGAAAATCTTGTTGCAGTGTAGGCATATTAACTCACGCTTGGAATTCTGCCCTTCAGCAACTCGACAATGTTCCCAAGCTATATCGGTCTTTCCTCTTGTAGTGGGTTTCTGCACAGATTCAGAGGTTTCTTGTGTAGGATTGTTAGACGACATTACGAGTAGACCACCTAAAAATTCAACCAAACACCATAATGTTAGTTTTTTTATTCTCAATCGCAGAAACACATATATATTGAATTATTGAGTAAAAATCTATGAATCCAATTTTTCAATTATTACTGAAGCAATTAAAAAACAAATGAAGCTAATATTGAATAAAGTTGGTGAAGTCTTTCCCCAATTTGTAGAATCTTTGCAAATAAAGCTAATAATAAAAAATATTGGAGCCATTAACAATCAATTTATGATTCTTGCCACCCAAAAAAGATCTCTTGCCACCAAAAGCTCAAATATTATTAAAGCCAATTTTTTTAGCCTCAGAACAAAAACGAAATCTGTTTTAGTACAGTACTTTCTTGCATGTGTTATAATGTTTGATACATCTATATGAATATAATTGATTTTTCTAGCAGTTGCTCATATGAATTTGCTAACAGCTACATGTGCATTTTGTTTACTGTGTGGTGATTTGTACATTTGAAAGATATCTAATAATTTTTTTTTTAGTTTTTGTACAGGAAACTAAATTAGCTAATTGGAATTCAAGAAAAAACCATCAAAAGAAACTATATGAAATTAACAATCAAACCAAATATGCTAATCAAAATTACCATTTACCAAGAGTCTGAATAAAGAAAAAAAAAAGAGTAAGAAGCTTCATACCTGGCTACGTGATGAAGATAAGATGTTTGACAGTCGACGCACAAGCACAAAGATTTTTCTTTTTCCCGGCGTGGTTTATGTTCTCGGCGAAAGATTAGAAGATGGGAGAAAGATTTTGCTTTGGGATTGAGGTTTAAATCGTTGGAATAGGAACAGACGGGAAAAAAAACAAAATCTTTCTAACCTTATTAGAATAGGAACAGACGGGAAAAAAAAAAAAACGAAACCGGGCCATTCGGGTCATCCGGGTCACAACAAACCCGGACGGGTCACCCGAGTCTATAGCGGTCCATATGCAAGACGGTCTGATTGACCAAACCGGCCCGGGTCTGGCTTCGGGTCGACCGGGTCCCGGGTCGACCCGCCGGTCCGGGCCGGGTCTGAAAACACTGGCCATACTGTTACATTATAGATAAGATAACTATTACTTTTTACGTTGTTAATAGATGATTATATCGTGTATAGAAATACGGTTGTTACCATTGGTGGATCTACATAGGGGCTCGTAGGGGCACGGGCCCCTGTAGATTTTTCTAGTAGTATATATTATATATGTTATATGTATATATGTATATTATATTGACATAAAAAAATACATGTTATTAATTATTATGCAAAATTATTTCAATATAAAAAAACAAAAAAGAAATAATTAGAATTATTTAACTTTCAATATGTTATTTTTTATGTTGTGGAATTTATGCTTATGCTATACTATTCTTATTTATTTTCTTTTCCCTCTCAAAATACATAAATGTATATACTACATATGGATTGGATCAAATGTATCTTATTCTTAAAATGAGACTGTGAGACTCAACCCTAGTTATTAAATAGTGAACAAAGTGTTTGGTCAATATTTAATCTTTTTATTTTTTAATTGGTTAACTATTGATTTGGCCTTTGACATGACCGTTGACCATCTGTATTGACCGTAGTTTGTGCCCCCGTTGTCTTTAAAGTCTGCGTCTGCCCCTGGGACTTGTTGCTATAACCGTTACTTTGTATGCGGTTAATTAAAGAATAATATATCATCGCTATTACTTTTAGGCTCCATTTGTTTTGAGAGATTTGAAATTCCTTGATTTCAAAAATTTGAAATATAATTTTTTTTACTTGCACACTCCTTGAATGGACGTGTTGAAAATATTATAAATAAATTATCTAGCTCGCAGCGATGGTGTTGACTCGCGGTGGTGATGAACCTAAATAATCGCGGACGGCGTGGTCGTCAACGATAATAAACAGTGGATTTCAAATGATTAGGTTTGAGGAGTCATTTCAAATCTTTCAAAATAATGACTAAAAAATATCTATCATGAATTTGAAATCCTCCAACTTCCATTATCATCCCAACATGCATGAACATTTGAACTTGTAAATTTGAAATATATGAATTTTAAATTACTCAGTAAATCTCTCAAAACAAACGGATTGCTACTTGTATTCTCTATACACCCGGTTAATAGATCATATATAAATAACTATTAATCTTTTTATATTTTTTCTTTTTATTACTAATATTTATATTTTTTAAAGTAATTAAAATATGAGTTGCACAACTAACTATTCTTTACGTTTTCCACATCTCGAACAGTTAATTAACAAGACTTTTCATTATAAAATTGTTGAAAAGGATATAGTAGAAAATATAAAATGTTATCCACATCTTAAAATCAACGACACTTTACAATTTTCATTATATCATTCATTTATAAAATTATTGGAAAGGAATTAGATATTATTATAAATATAAAAGTGAGAAATGTATTAATAATTTGAAAAAACGATTTAGAACACTTAACAACGCAAATGTTCTAACGATGCACATTATAATTTATATATAGCAATGAAGAACTCGACAATATAATATTTTTCTATCAATAAATATATGAAATTTAAATTAACTGAAAACATTTTAGCAAAAATTAAAAGTCGTTTTTGAAACAGTTGAAGAGTATCAAACATATGACTATTAATTTAATACTCTAAAAATGTTGTTAAGAAAATAAATAAAACAACTGAATATAAATAAAGATTGAAAAATACATGAAATACATAATTCAATTTTCGTACACCATTACTAAATATAAATGTCTATAAATAAAAAGAATATGAATATAAATAATATATATATATATATATATATATGGGTCAGTTCGAATAAAATCTAGTTCTGGTGTGAGAACCGTGAGAACCGTATTTGATGCTATTTATTATTGTGTATGATGCTATTTTTAATATCACATGGTGCTATCATTTTTATAAATGTTAATATAAATTGTGTTGCTATTTTTTAAGAAAATAGATCCATGTTAAAAATAGCACTAAAACACAATCAATCATAGCACTACGTACAACTATAAATAGCGGTTCTCACGGTTCTCACGCTAGGACTTGGTTCTCATTTGAACCACATCCTCCATATATATATATATATATATATATATATATATATGAAGAAAATGTCAATTCCTAACACGGTAGCAAACATAAATAAACACTGATATTAGATTGGAAATTTAATTATATTTTTTTATTTTTTTTCTCATATTCATTTATATTCGAGTGTTTTTATTACTATATTAAAAGTCATACCATCACCTATTAAAAAAGTATATTAGTTTTAAGGAGAAAACATTTCATGCAACCTATACTTTTGTCATTTTTACAATATGCAACCTAAACTAGTTTTAGTAGTAAATACCAACCTGTACTGTTAAAAAATTATTGTTTACAACCTTATTTGGAGTTCTAGAGTGGAAAGAAGACAACGGAGGTGTCCAAAATGCATGTTAATGTAATCTATTTTCAAATACTGTTTTTTAAATAATGCACATTAGTGGTGATATGGGATATTATATAGGTAAAGAATAGATCGGTCTACCACATTGGTCGAGCAAGCTCGAAGTAGAGAAAACCGCATTGGTCGAAGGATAATCGACCAAAAGGGAAGAGATCGAGCAGAATAGCAGAACTGGTCGAGGATCGGCCTAGCGATGGGGGGCTCGATCGGATCGAGCACTCAACAGGTGAAGAGCGGTTGAGAGTGTGGCTTGAACGCGAGAAAGCGCGTGGGTGACGTTAGAAGATCCTAACGGAATGTACAAAGAATAATCTCCCTCTGCTCAGGGGGACACGTGGCAAGAGTACATTGGTGCAGAGCAATAGTGGTGATAACCACCTCTGACGCTTCTGACACACATAGACTGTGTGTGTACGGACGGGCAGTACGGGCAGGACAGTTCACCAGATCCGGGCAGCTCCTAGGGCAGGTATCTCACTCCTATATATATATAGGAGTGGGTCTTTTCTTGGGACTTACGATTTATCCATTCTTTACTTTGGAAAATTGAAAAAATATATACTGACTTAAGCATCGGAGGCTCTTCACCGGAAATCCCCTCCGGTGTGAGAGTTCTGTGCAGGTGCGAGGCGTTCTACCGGCGAGGAAGAGGAAGCCGAACTGATTTCTGGCCGGTCGGAGTGTTTTGCGCTACCATTTGGCGCCGTCTGTGGGACTTTCGTTCGAAAAGTGGTGTGTTGAGATTGCTGAAACTCGGCGGTTATGGCGGACGGAATTCCTAGGAAAGATTTGTAAGCATCGTTCGACGAAGCGTGGACGATGACGAGGCCGTTTGGAGAAGGCCCTCCCCTGGGCTTCTCTGGACCCTCGCGTACACCGGTGACTCCGACGCCCGTTCCCCAAGGTGTATGAGTCACGCCGGTGCAACCAGAGGCTGACGTGGGCTCAAGCCGAGCTCAGGAGGCCTGTACAGCTCAAGGAGCGGCGACCCTAACGCCGTTGCAACCAGATCTGGCCGTGACGCCGCAGCAAAGAGCGGTGGTGCAGGGAGCAGCACCGCCGCCTATGGGGGAGCAGCGCCTCGGCCAGCAGGTAGTGATGACCAGGCAGGAGATGCAGCAGATGGTGGCGAACGCGGCAGCACAAGCGGTTCAGCAAGTCACCCAAAGCCTTTCGCGAGTGGCTGCTGGTCCAGCGATGGTTGACGAGGATGTGTCTAGCTATGGAGAAGATGGAGCTCTGCGAGATCGGGAGGTGGACAGACTCGCGGAGCAGGTACGGCAGATGCAAGCTAAGATGGATGGCCGACCTGAAAGGCGTGCTCGAGGACACCCGTTCTCGAGAGACATATTGGCTGCACCATTATCTGCGAATTTCAGAGACATGAGTCTTGGCTGTGTTACATGGTCATTCTGATTCTGTTAGCTGCAGGGCATTCTTATCGACCTTGAGAGGAGGTGCGCTCGATTGGTTCCAGCAGCTCCCTCATGGATCGATCAAGGAGTTTGACGATTTCGCGGAGAAGCTGATGACCCAATACGCGAGTGCTGTGGCGCAGGAGAAAACGTATTTGACGCTGATGGCCATGAGGCAGGGGGAGAAAGAGTCGTTGCGCAAGTATGTTGTGCGATATAATCAAACTTGTTTGGAGATCCCCACGGCCGCGGACGAGGTGAAGGCTGGAGGGTTGATAAGGAGTTTGCGAGCAAGGCCTTGTCGAACATCTTTAGCCAAAATCTCTGCTTGTACGTATGACGACGTGCTGAAGAGGTGTAAGAAGTATATTAACCTAGAGGAGACGGAGGCGGAGTTTGCTAAGTTGGAGGAATTAGCTAAGCCGGAGCCGAAGAAAAGAAGGGCGGACTCGCCCCGAAGGGTGTCACCAGGGAGGAGATCGCCCAAGAGAGAGGGGCGTGGCAAGATCGACCAGAGTGGGGGGGACTAGATGATATAGGATATTATATAGGTAAAGAATAGACCGGTCTACCACATTGGTCGAGCAAGCTCGAAGTAGAGAAAACCGCATTGGTCGAAGGATAATCGACCAAAAGGGAAGAGATCGAGCAGAATAGCAGAACTGGCCGAGGATCGGCCTAGCGATGGGGGGCTCGATTGAATCGAGCACTCAACAGGTGAAGAGCGGTCGAGAGCGTGGCTTGAACGTGAGAAAGCGCGTGGGTGACGTTAGAAGATCCTAACGGAATGTACAGAGAATAATCTCCCTCTGCTCAGAGGGACACGTGGCGAGAGTACATTGGTGCAGAGCAATAGTGGTGATAACCACCTCTGACGCTTCTGACACACACAGACTGTGTGTGTACGGACGGGCAGTACGGGCAGGACAGCTCACCAGATCCGGGCAGCTCCTAGGGCAGGTATTTCACTTCTATATATATATATAGGAGTGGGTCTTTTCTTGGGACTTACGATTTATCCATTCTTTACTTTGGAAAATTGAAAAAACATATACTGACTTAAGCATCGGAGGCTCTTCACCGGAAAATCCCTCCGGTGTGAGAGTTCTGTGCAAGTGCGCGGCGTTCTACCGGCGAGGAAGAGGAAGGCGAACCGATTTCCGACCGGTCGGAGTGTTTTGCGTTACCAAGTGGTGCCTATTATACTAATTTATTATAAATAATTTAGGTCATGAAGAAAGGAAAAGGATTTGTTTGAGGGAGTACTTCATCAACCAAGAATGTCTCATATTTTGTCTATTTCATTTGTATTTTGGCAAAAGAAAACCTGATATTTTGCCATCTTTAAATTGAATGCCTCATGAATGGTGTATAGCATAATCTTGTTTTTGTGATTTGAAACAAACTGAAATTGGATGATATATTTGAGCTTATGGTTTTGACCACATTTTATTTCATTGGCTTATGTATTTTTAAGAATCTTGAAAATTAGACACCTGGAGAGGTGATTCTTTTGTAAAAGGTTATTTTTTGGACACCTATTGTTTGACTTTCTATAATGAAATGTTATAGGGACATATGTAGTGATTATCTGTTACAAGAAATTTTCACAATTCTGAGATACCTAATATGCCATTCTTAATAATGATTCAGAAAGACTAATGTGTCCTTAAAAAATGATGTGCAAGTCACGTGCTTTTTTCTGGCATGTGTTTTTTGCTCGGGGGTTGTAAACGGTGATTTTTTAATGGGTTAATTGCAAAAAAAAACTCGACCTTTCTTAAAGTTGCAAAAAAAAACTCAACGTTTTCGATTTAGCATAAAAATACCCAAGCTTTCAAAATTTTTGCAATTGTGTCTCGAAGGAAGATTTCGGTCAATTAGTGCTGAGGTGGCCTATCGAAAAACTTACGTGGCAACAAAACATTGACGTGAAAAATACAAATTAATACTCGGTGCCACGTCATTGTACATGTAGGAGTCCATGTCATCTCATGAATGCCACGTCAAAATCAAGAGATATAATTTTCCCCAATCTCCAACTCGATGAATCAGAGGAACAGACACAGAAAAGCAGAAAACTTCACGCAGAGCAATCTCCACCTTCTTCACGCACGCACGGCCGCTCTCTTCCTTCTTAATCCGACAAATCGAGTTCACCATCTTTTTCACGCCGCGCCTCTGGCGATTCTTCATCCGAAAATCGAGTTCCCTAAAATTTTCAAGCAACAAAACCCTAAATGGAGAACGGGTAAATTTCATACATTTTTCTTGGTCTCTACATTGCCAAACGCCAGCTCAACCGACAACAAGAAGAAAAGCAATCCCCACAGCAAACTCCTCCCCGTCGATTCCATCGCCACCGCCACCACCTCTGCTAATAATTGTTGACCGGAATGCAATAAAGGAAAAAAATGCACCTTTTTATGTGTATTGATTGATTTCGCGAGTGGGTGAAAGAAGAACGTCAAAATCAGAAAGAGGGCTGGTGGCGAATGGGGAGGATGGATAAGAGAAAGAGAGGATCAAAAAAGAAAAGAAAGAAAAAATGAAAAAGCTTGGCAATGCTGAGAGAGGAGAAATTAACGGGATAAGCGTTGAATTTATTAAAGAAGAAAAAAAGAATTTGAGTTTGACGTGGCATTTGTGAGATGACATGGACTCCTACATGTACAATGACGTGGCACCGAGTATTAATGTGTATTTTCCACGTCAATGTTTTGTTGCCACGTAAGTTTTCCGATAAGCCACCTCAGCACTAATTGACCGGAATTTTCCTTCGAGACACAATAGCAAAAATTTTAAAAATTTGGGTATTTTTTATGCTAAATCGAAAACGTTGAGTTTTTTTTTTCAACTTTAAGAAGGTCGGGTTTTTTTTGCAATTAACCTTTTTTTAATAGTATAGGTTGTTATTTACTACTAAAACTAGTTTAGGTTGCAAATTGTAAAACTAGCAAAAGTACAGGTTGCATGAAATTTTTTTCCCTAGTTTTAATCTTTAGAGTCTCAAATTATTTAAAATTTTTGGGACCAAATCAATTGATTTTATTTTTAAATCTCGAATCGATATTTGACTCATGTTTCGTGTCTATACTTATAGTCATAGAAACTAGAGTTTTAAATTGATATTTTTTTTTTCTTGGGATTCAATATAATTTATCATTAGGTTTGAATTAAAAATTAAACTAATCTTTGTGAACAATATGGGTCTTTGCATCAAATTGGCCGACAAGTGGTGTTTCCTTTTTCACAAATTAAATTAAAAGGGTGGGCCCACACTCTTGGGCGAGTTTCAACATTTTTAGTTGGTTGATTTTCATTGGACGGAACTAAGTCAATAAAAGAGACGTTTTCACACCGAAAACAGATACAGTCAACAAAATGTTGCGGTTTGAAACAATGAAGCTCGAACAAAATGAAGCTCGAACAATATTATTGTGTGAGGTTGAGTCATTGACGTAATGTAACCAAATTGATATTTTCGAGGTGTACATATTCATTGATTTTCTAAATATTTTGTTAATATTAAATTTTTGGTGAATTTACTTATTTTTTAAAAGATTTTGAGATAATTTTTAAGATTTTAAAGTAGAAAGTTATGAGGTATTGAACTAATTTATCATTTAAATTTGTCCGAACCATTAAAAATGCGTTTCATTTGGTAGAATGAGATTGTTTAAAAAGATTGAAGTTATCTCATAAATTTATTTATATAGTTTTATTAATTTTATCAAACACTTTATAATATCAATTAGCTTTTCATCAATGAATAATATAAAATCGATTATAAAATTAACTTATGAGCTATCTTTTATAATCTCTAAATTAACTTATAGACTACAAGTTCACTTTTAAGTTATAAGTTAGTTTTTAAACTAGAATTAGCAAACATATCCCAGGACATAATCTGATTTCAAAGACAAATACTTTTACAAAATTCCTACAAAATTCCCACCAAATCTCGCATCCAAACATATGATTTCCAGGAACTTTAGTTAAACTAGTATTCGACCTGTGCATTTGCACAGATATAAATAAATTATTGTGAGTCTGTACATATAATGATTAATTATTTTTCTTTCACTTTTTTGCAGACCAAATTTGCAATTAAAAGAATTGAAATATTTTTTTTTTTAAATTGCGTTTATCTGATTGGATGTAATGTATATTTTGGTACGTCTTTTATTTGTGAATTATTTATTATTTATTTAGAAATTTCAAATATACTTTTTATTTTCAAAACTAAAATTAAATGTAACAACAATAATAACATCTAATCACATTATATGGTCAACTGTCATTAATCAAAAGTTTAAAATGATTTTTGTAATTTTGAAGTGATGAGTATTAATTATTTAATGATTAAATGAAAAATTAAATACATCAAAATGTAACGGTTTTTGGAGGGAAAATTGTTAAATTGCCACATAGGTAAAATTAAATAGGTTTTATTAAATTCTATTAGCTAGTAATTATATATATATAGATTAAAAAGTTATAAAGGTGTCAGATTTTAAAGATTTAAAATGCCAGTCACAAGTTAATAGAATAAACATTGTAAAAGCATCTTTTATTGCAATAGCACTTTTAGTTGTATAATTATTCTTATGTAAATATCAACTTTAATGCAGTATAAATAGGACTCATGCAACCTTAAATCCCTTTTTCTTTCTCGACTTTACTTCTTATTCTTGCAATTGATAGTCAAAAGGATTCATGCAAGCATCTTCTAAGCATGATGCAGTTTGAATGTATCATATGTTAACACATTAAGAAAAAAAGACAAATCACAAGTGAACCTTCAAAATAAATCAAAGCAACAGAAACATCACATTTCTCGGTTCTGTCATTCATATTCCACCCGATGTCTGATATCAACAACTCACGGAGCAACAGCGGGAAAAGGGGGAACACACACACGAGCTAGTTACAAATTTGCTGCAAGTCGGGAAACTTGAAAATAATAATGGAGACAAACGATGGCAAAGTCGAAAAAAATCTTATGCTCTCACAAGTCAGTCGTAAAGTCCCTCTTGCTCCCACACATCCACCAGAAAATCCACCATTTCCTGTTGATTGCAACCCTCATTTGACGTTAACACAGAAAAGAGAGACTATAAAAGAACACTTGGTTAATGACAAATTTACCGTTGAGATTCAGCCTAAGTATGAAAACGGCTTAGCTTCTTTAAAAAAATTCTAATGCACCTTTTGTCACCTTTTTTTCTGTTGTTTTACAGCACCCTCAATGCATGTATTAGTAGTTCAGTATATATGATTTTTGTAAATAAATTGTAATAACTTAAAGAAGGTAATTTCAAAAGTTTTTTTTTTCTTTTTTCGAACTAGGCTAGACCTCGGGACGTTTCTGCAATTTAAGCTAATAAAATTCCATGGGGTAGCATACTAACCGGCAATGGAATCGGCTGTGGGAATGGTTTGTTGGTCCCAAGCAAACTCTCGTAAGTTGCATTCCAACTACAAATAGTCAAGCAAAATATATATGATCAGTAACAACTTAAGAGCGCAAAATGTTTATGCAAATTTTCATTGTTGCTTATGAATCATCTATTGCTACACGAACCAAATAGAAAATGAGAATTGTACCTCAATTTGGGTTCTCGCACTTGTTCGCTCTTTTGAGATCCTTTACTTCCAATCCATTGCTGTCGTGTTTGATTCCACAGAAGAAAACCTTTTAAATGGGAAACTATGAAGTTCCATTAGAGCTAGACAAAAGCTAAAATGAGGGTACAAAATTGCAAATTAAAAGGAGAGAACAATATTAGGGTGCAAATTAAAAGGAGAGAACAATGATGAATAATATAACTTAATTCTCAAGTTTATGCATGCCTCTCATATACTTGTATTCATAGTTGATCAAAATATAACGAGATAGTGAACAACAAGTGGACGATAGTGAACAATAGGACGATAACTGATGATTGGAGGAATAACATTACAAAAACGATTATTTCAAAAAATAGAGAACAATCTAAACATCATAACTGAAGGCTATTTACACAACAAGTTGCACAAGCTCAAGAATATTTTGGTATTAAGCATAAAGTGATAAGATAGCATGAAATCACTTGCCATGATTTACAAATTCAGAAGAGTTGCTGGGCCCATCAGCATTACTCTGACTATCTAAGGTTTGGTTTGAAGTACTGATTGATGAGATGCTTCTGTGGGAAGGGAAAGCACTGTTATCCATATCCCCTGACGAGTGGCTCCAAAAATCCTCAGTTAAACTACGCTTTTTTATGCGATGGCCTTGAATTTTGAGCCCTTTAGATGGCTCGTCCACAGAAATCACAAGTGGTGGCTTGGAACAACATCCGAGACAACCTCTGCTCTGTTACAAATTAGGTTTCACCACCATACATACGATTAGTGTATCGAGTAGAAATATGATTAAGGTATATTATACATCACAACAAAGTTTTTCTGATAGTATAATTTTGTAAAATTAAAACTAGAGTAAAGATATATACGAAAAGAATATTTTTCGAAGAATAGATAAGTGCAAGGGATGTCAGGCTCAAGAAATAAGAATAAGGAGAAACAGAATTAAGAACAACATAGCTAGAGCAATAGTCAATACAGCAAACAAATATGTGATGTCTGGCAGTTGACTTTGTAATCAAGATGGTGAAATATCAATTTCAAGACATTAATGAAGCTTCAACTTCCAGAAACTGAGAAAAAGGCAGCACAAAGGTCAGGTAAATTAAAGGCAAGCAAGAAATGTTTAAGACAGAGGAAATTTGAAGTAAACAAAAAAGCACTCGACTCGACCCAATCAAAGCAAGATAACCTCTTACGCGAAAGATATCTCTGCATTTATGTTTTAAACCATCAGTAATTGATGTGAATAGTGCTTGAAAGTACTTCCAAATGCACCCCAATAGAGAATACACCGGCCTTGTCTCAAAACAAGTTTCCATTCGTGTTACTAAACAACATTCATTATACATATCTAGTAATTTTTCTAATATCACTTCTTCATCTTCAGTAGGTGCCTTTCAAGTTGATGCTACTAGCACAATGCAATTATGTATGATTCACAAAGAGTCACTCGAACAATCTCTTCACCCCACCTAGCAAAGCATATCATACAAAAGATGGAAATAAAATATAGAACTTTCAGTCAGCACACACTGTTGCTGCTTGATTCAAATGCAAGCAAAACCCAAGATTCCAAACCACTAAAAGCAGAACAAAACTAAAGTAAGGCAACTTCAAACAACCAAATTTTTTCCTCATGTTAGCAATGGTATATGTTCTAGAAAAGGAATGCTCATAGTCCTCTGCCATTATTCCTTTTCCTAACTTGATAGCTAATCCAATAAACAAATAACTAAATGAAAGATTGGCCATCAAAACGCACAACTAAAGCTCTTTACGCCAGATGACTAACTGACGACAAGTTCATGTGTAACTGAACCATCGCAGTTGTACCTTGTGCTACTCTAGTTGTACAGATTGAGAAATCAATCAATCAATTTTACCACCGACCCGCACACAAAAGCACGCACTCATGCAGGGATAAGGTAAAAGAACTGACCCCATGCATGCGAGTAACTCAGAAATCCAAGAGGGGACCGATCTACACCAGTACTTCATTAACAGATGCTAATATTATAATCTCATCCAGAAAAATCATTCCTTTCTTCAGACCCAGATCTCAATAACCCATTAGAGATGGGAAAAGAAATGAGAGCCCAATTATCCTGCAAACAGAAAAAAGAACAATCCAAAAACAAAAACAAAAATTAGTCAATGAACACAAGATGACTGAAATTCGAAAAAAAAAAAAAAAATTGCTCAAGAAACTGATTGCCCTTCTGATCCGATCAAGAGTCACCGCTCACCAGCTGTTTGATGAAGGGTTGCTGATCTTGAATTTAGCTGCAGAAAAAAATAGAGAGAAAGAGGGAGACTGCTAAAGTTGATCTGTGCTACGAGTGGAGTGGTTGGTGATGGTACGAAGCCCACTTGGTTTTTACTAATATTACTTAACTGCCCTCGTCGGTCTGACTTACAAATGATTGAAACTGCGGTCGCCATTATTATTATTTGTTATTATTATTTAATTGTTAAGATTCATTTATTTCGTTTCAATTTTTGTAGAAAAATGATACTATTGATACTAATTTGACTCCGATGAATTAAATAATAAGTGAAATAATAAAAGAACGGCCCAGTAACCAGGAAGTCAAAAATACGTAATAAATAAATGTACAAACAAGTCCTTAATGCGGATCACCCAAAAGCCGATCGAATCCCTCGATGTCGAGTCGGACAGAGTTCAAAGCAATCGAATAACCCACATATCATGAAGAAGCCGCCTTCGGTAAATGCGACAATTGCAGAAAAGACAAACGTCAATTAGAACTGTCAAAAGTCATAAGCGGACCCCACGATGATTATCTCACATTAAATAATAGTGTATTAGCTTTTATTTATTTAATAATCCACTTATAGCACTGTCAAAATGGGCCATGGCCCGCGGGCTGGCCCATCCGCCGGCCAAAATGGACGTGCTTGGGCCTTTGCTTGGCCAGCCCGTTCAATCGCGGGCCGTTCGGCCCGCGGTCTAAAACGGGCTGGGGCGGGCTGGCCCCCGGTCCAACCCATCTTTTTATTATTAATTTTATATTATTTAAATTTAGTATTTCTTATTTTACTTCTAACTTCTAACTTGCGACGTTCAAGTTTCAAAACTCTTCACTTTCATTCTACTACGTCTACGTGACCCTAGTCCTCCCGCGCAACTCGTTTGATTGTTTGAATTTTACTTTGTTGTAGGACTTTGAATGTTTGAATTTTACTTTGAATATGATCTGTTATGGGAATTTTAAGGTTTGTTAATCAGTAATTACTATTGATGGACTTATTTATTTTGTTGGTTTTGTCTTTATCGTCTTCTTCTTCTTTTTCTTCTTCTTCTTCTTCTTCTTCCATATTTATTTATTTTATATTTTTTAAAATTTAACAATGATATTAAGATTTGTGAATGCACATGAAACACTTTTTTACATAATAAAAATGTTAATGAATCAAATAATATTTTATGTGAATTAAGTCCCTCCTCCGCGTGAATACCCTATAACTATTCATAAAAAAAAATAAAAATAAAAACTAGATGACAAATATTTAATATCATTACACATGAAGCCTTACAAGTTTATTAATATACTAGTAAATATAAGGATAAACAAACCAAAAAGTATATAAGAGTGCATAATACCAAAAAACCTGCGGGCGGGCCGATTTGGCCCGCGGGATAATGAGGGAGAGCCACGGGCCATGGATTTCCCAGCCCGTAGAAATGCGGGCCATTTTGGCCCGCCCCGTTTGAACCGCGGGCCAAAACGGGCCGGACCGGACCGGCCCATTTGACACTGCTACCCACTTATAACTAAAGAGGGAGGGATGTATATATATGTAAAGAGGAGGAGAGAGAAGGGGACTTCTCCCATTTTTCACCTTCCCCCAATAACAAAAAAGGAGATATTCTCTCCAAAATAAGAAACACACCTATTCTCAATCATTTTTGTTCTTCAATTTCATACAAGATTTTCGACTTATAATTGATCGTTTATCATCCGATTTTCGACATAAACAGATACATAGTTAATCTAGTGTACAACTAGGTTGACAACACAAGTGAGAAACATCCACTTGTTTATTTTTTTTATTTTTATTTTTATGGATGTTTTTACTTGTGTTGTCAACCTAGTTGTACACTAGGTTGGTAATGTAGCATTTCTCATTTTTTTAAACCACAATATTATACATTAGTTATTATAATGTACTTTTTGATAAGAAAAAAAAAAAAAATTATTTAATTTTAATTAAAAAAATTTATTAATAATATTTTATTATTTTTATATCACATTAATTTAATTATTGTATTTTATTACAATATTTAAAACAAAACTTTATATTTTTTAAAATTTTATATCAGCAGCACTCTAATAGGGGGTTTTTCCAGCTAAATCTCCAAAATTCTTTCTATTTTCTTATTCAGTCTCTAAATTTATTTTTTTCTCTTCACTTCCTATTGCTAAATTGTGTTTCCACTTAACTCTATTACATTGAAAAAAATACTTAAATCAATCACATGTCCAATCATTCCTCTACTGCCAACTTTTGCACATTTTTTTATTATTTTTCTTTCTTCATCTAAACAAAATAAACACTAACTTTTTCTTTCTCTCTCTCGTCAACACTCCTTCCCCTTCCCATTTCCCCTATCGAATTTTTCCTTTTTTTATTTTATTTTATTTTATTTTTTAGTACTGCAATGACGATCCAAAAATCACCTGGCATTTAGAAATCAGGCAAAAGACGATCTTGAGGAACTCCGACGAAAGATAAAACGAACTCCCTCTAGCGATGGACAACCCTCTACGGCGAATTTCAAACTCGTTTTTTTTTTTCGACGAACTCCGAACTTGCATTTTTTTTACGAATAAAGTGGTCAGTCTTTGTGAATTTACTGTGGAGTTGAATTTCGAATGTTTTTATTTACTAATTTTTCCTAAAACCTTGTTCTTCATATTTTGTAGAGGAATCAATTGTGAATAGTGTTCTTCATATTCACCCGAAAACAACGAAGGTGCCAATAGTTATTTGTTGTTGTTCAGATCTACCAACTATATACATTAGGTTATGTCAATTTCTTGTAAATGAACATAGTACTATTGATGCATGCGTATGTACCAGCTTTTTAGTAATATAGTACCTCTGTTATCAGTATTGGATACTAGTTTGTGCTGAAAACTTTAAAGTTTTATTTTATCCAACTCATTTTAATTTTTTTATTATTTTTAAATACACTTAGCACAATGAAAGGGACACAAACTGGGTTATTACGAAGTTGTTCGTATAATAATAAATTGCTTGTCTTCTCTATACACGTCGGATTGAGTCTTGAAGATATGTATAACCTTATTGCTAAGAGGTGGACAAATGGAAATTCGCAGTTCTTCATTTTACTCTATATTGCATCCCATGATATGAAGCCATTGAGTTTGTCAGATAATGACGACGTGAAGAACATGTTTCAGTTGCACTTATGTTGGAAATTAAACATTATAGATATGCTTGCAGTTGAAAAAGATCAAAGACTGGATCATGGACTAAAATCCATCTCAATGAGCAACCAATGTTTCTTCCTATATCAGTAATTAATTCATTATTAAAATATAATATAGTTGTATGACAGTCTTATTTTATTATTGTTTTAACTAGTTCCGTTATTTATAAATGTTTGTATTTTTTTTTTCATGAAAGCAGAGAAATCGTACTATAAGATGATTTTTTGGAGGGAGGTACTCAATTATTATTGAAAGATAATTCAATTGATTCTTGGCGCTATTGCATCAAAGGAGGGATAAATTTTCGATAGCGCATTTGAATTTAGAGGCATGTTAAAAACTATGTGATTGCTAATAAACGCTCTTTTTAAGTATCGTTAAAATGATAGCCAGAAGATCATTATTTGTTGTTGCGATGAAGATTGTGAATGAAAAATATATGCATCGAGATACAAAGCCAATTATTTGTTTGATATCCGAAAGTGCAATCTAGTCCATACTTACGGAGTGTCTAATCTTCGGACGCTGATGCATCCGAGCGCACTATACTTGAATTTCCAATATAATTAGGGAGAAATTGAGAATGAACCAGACTACAGGCCTTGCACGGTATTAAAAGACCTTCACAAGGACTATAGCTTGGAATTGAAGTACAAAAAGACATGGTTGGGAAATAAAATTTCCATGTATAATATTCAAGGAGGACACAGGGGATCATATGACAAATTAAGATGGTACTGCCATGCAGTGCGTGAGACAAAACTGGAACGTATTGTCGATTGTGATATTGACCTACTCAAGAAAAAGTTTCTCCTACTTTTCATTTGTTTACATGCGTGCCTTGTTGGATTTTTAAATGGTTGCTGGCCTTTAGTATTTTTAGATGATAGTCACATTAAAAATAAGTATAAAGGTTGTCTTCTTAGTGTTGTGAGTAATGTTGCCAACGATGATTTGTTCATTATAGCATTTGTCGTCGTTGATGCTGAGACCGATGATAATTAGGAGTGGTTTTGCTTGAGACTGAAGAATATTTTGCTTTCCTTGAGTTTATCAAGTTTCAGAACGTTCACATTTGTTTACGGACCGACATAGTGCGCTACTAAAATACATCTCTACGGCTTTTCCTGGTAGCCATCATGCTTATTGTTTGAGACACTTAGTCGATAACTTTAAGAAGGATGTAAGAAATTTATTTAATTTATGTATATGTATATTAGAATCATAAGTAATATTGCAAGTGTCATATGTATATTAATTTTTTGGTAGGTTTTGAAAAGTACGATGGAGGTTCACGCTACTCCCATAACAATATTATGTCATGATGTCGAACGGTCGTCGAACAATGAGTTATGCCCACTCTTGCGCGAAGATCACGCAACAAGCATTCTCGCGTTGATGGCATGTCACGACTCACCCACGCACCTGCACGCGGCTGGGACTACCGTCGTGTGCGCTCGGCTATCGCTGGTCTCACACACGCGCGTCGTTGGGTCTGTCATACACCAGCACCTGCGACTTATATCGCCCGCTTTACACGGTACCTACACGTGGTGCCTGCATCATCCCCAAGGGCCTTGCGTCTCGTACGTCTGCGCGCATCGTTGCCATCGCACACGCATGCCTCCAATCGGCCTTCACAACTGGGGAAGCCTTGAAGGCTGGCACGACTGAAGGAACCGAAAGAGTTTGGTTGTAGCGGGTGGAGTATAGCAGGTTATGTGGATAATGGGTTGTAGGGTTTTTATGCATAGAATTAAGCCTATAAACATATGTGATATGGGCCTAATCGGATTTTTCTTTTTATTCTTACCTGTAGGCCTATAGTTATATCAATTGTCACTTATAAGCCTAATGAAAAAAAAAAGAAAAAAAATACATTCGGTTCGATTCATTATTTACTGAACAACATAGATCTCATACCGAAACCATACCGAAACAAAATTGGGAACCAAAAATCGAAAATCGGTGCAGATCGATTCGTTTCTTTTTTTAAATTCAGTTCGATTCGGTCAATTTTTTTATTTTCGAAAAAAGAAATTACCAACCCTATGCCTAACAATTGGAAATTTGGTTGCCAACTCAAAACCAACAAGAAAAGCTTGAAAACAAAACCATCAAGACTTTCGTATAAAGCTCGTGGAGCCCAACGTTTCTCCTTTTTTCAACACTCACATAAAAATAGGAAAGTCTCATGTTATCACAACATGATTGAAATGTATAGTTAATTTTTTTAATGTATAGTTAGTTAACATTTAACCATTTATTAAGTGGAGTTGTTACCGGAACTATAGTCAATAAATAGCAAAACCGGTGAACGCTTTTAATACAATTTTTTCTTACAAAAGAGAGAAAAAAAAAAAAAATTCAGCTTCCACAATCCACACCAACACTCACGCTTTAAACCTCCCGTTTAGTACTTCTGAACTCAAAAGTACAAGGCCAGTTTTTGCAGTTTGCTCCGCAAATAAAAAAGAAAAAATAGAAAGCAAAAAACACACAAAATGGTACAATCAAAGAAGTTCAGAGGTGTCAGGCAGCGCCAGTGGGGTTCTTGGGTGTCAGAAATCCGCCATCCTTTACTGTAATCCCCTCTCTATATAAATTTCAGAATAAGTTGAGTCTACATGGCAAATTCTTACATTTCGGGATCTTATTTGGCAAAAAACCATGCTTTGGAGTTTGGCTTGGATATAAATTAATATTTTTTATCACACTAAATCCATGATTGATTTTTTCCTTATTTACTTCTACAATTAGTTACCATAAATTATTTTATATTTCTTTTTCCTATATTACCATACATTATATTTCATTTTCTTATTTAATTCATTCATTAGTTATTATAAATGTTTCTTCTTTTAATAAAAATAAATAATTATTTATCTAAATTCTAAAATTACATATAAAGTTAGAAAACTGTGAAGCACAATGGATACTACACTTGATGTATTTGGAATCTAATTAAGTAAAAAATTAATCTATTTTGCTTAATATTAAACAAACATATTTCTACACTTATGCATATAGATATCACTATATTATTTCTATTTATTTAAGATATATAATTTTTTTACTTAATAATAGTAAATAATATCGATAATTTTATACGATATAAGTAAAAAAAAAATCAATATGAGTTGACATTTTCATTTAATATACGGGTGTTTAATTATTATGATTAAAAAAATATAATTTGCAATTTAGTTAAAACCCAAAATAATGTTTTATATAAAATTAAATTATTTTAGTTAAAAAATTAATATCTTTTACGTATGTTTCCTAATTCAACACCCGTGTATTTACACGGGTATTGTACTAGTAATTCTTAAAAGTTAAAACATTCCACTCTTTAATTTCTAATACTAATATTTCACCTACCAATTTTAGCTTCACATATTATCATTCTTAAGTACAATAAAAAAATAAAATAAAATAAAGACCTTCAAGTACATTCTTTTTCGAGTTGCAATCATGCTTATAATGTCTTTGTGCAAGTTAAATGCACTTATAACCTTGTTATAATTATTTTTTTATTTATTTAATTATTGCCATTTTAAAAATAATCTATAGGAAAAAAAGGATTTGGCTTGGGACATTCGAGACGGTCGAGGCCGCGGCCAGAGCATACGACCAAGCGGCGGTCCTAGTGATCGGCCACAACGCAAAGACGAATTTCGCTCTCCCAAACGGCTCCCGAGAAATAAACGAGCCCCCAAGCCCGGAAGCGGCCCCGCGTGCAGAGGTGCTCGAAGCCAAGCTAAAGAAATGCTGGAAGTGGAAGAATCCGGCCACGTCAATCACGTGCCTGAATTAGAGGGTCTTGTATTGTTTAGATGCATGGTTAATAATAATCTTGGAGATATTTGAGAAGGGAAAAAAAAGGAAGAAGAAGAAGAAGGTGAATTTGTAATTAAGTAACTCAGGTCGTTACCTTACATGTGAGAGCTAAATCTTATGATTACGGTTTAGTTCTATTTGTATGAAAAAAAATAAAATATTGTGTTTAGATACGAAGTCAAATATAAAGAAANGAACAATCAATTTTTTTTTTTAAAGAGAGAATTTATATGATCTCAAATAAATATTACAATTTCATGACAAAAAATAACAATCAAACAGTAATAAATAACGCACAACGCATACAAAAGATAGTGGTGAGATGCTTTCATCACTTCAAAAATAGAAGAGACCAAAATTCGATTTATCAAACGAGTTTTAAGCGAGCTACTCGTTTATCAAACGAGTTTAACTGAAACTCGAACCTTAATGAGTTTTACCTAACCGAGTCGAGTCAAACTCACAAGCAACTCGTTTCGTTTAACAGCTCTAATCAACACATACTCGTACATGCATGTGTTATCCGATAGTTCACGGATGGAATTTGCCCATTATCACACGTTAGGATCAAATTTGCCGATGGTGACACATTGTGAACACGTACGAAGGCATTTATTTGACAAGGTAGGTGCCAACTAATTATGATCAAATTCATATTCACAAGACAAGAACAAACCGTACACTTATTTCAATCTCTTCCTTTTTTTCTATCTTCAGATTTCTCATATGCAACTACAGATGCCAATAAATTACTCTGGACCACGTCAAAAATTAAACATTCAAGTAAATGGTATTGGTGGTATATAAAATTGCTATTTTTGTTAATTACCAAAAAAAAAAGAAATTTCTGAAAGAAAAAGAAAACGACTTTTAATAAATGACTGCGCTGTCAGTACTCATCATAAAAAAATGAAAAAGAAAATAAAAATATGCAGATAGTCCATGTGGCCAATAATACTTGAGGGTACATAGATTGTCCTTACATTTAACAGATGAAGAAAATGTCAGAGCCTGTGGTTGTTAGTTGATCATTAATGCCAATATATATGTACTACAATGACTTGGTGAATAGATTGTTTGATTTTTAACATCATGTTACATCTATGACTGACACAAATATGAAAAGCACAATTCTTTTAACCTTATCAATTCGTGTAATAGTTTATGACTTAATGTGTTTATCCAACTCTCGAAAATCTTGTTCACTGGGTTGTTGTTTACACCACAAATTTTACACTATGCTTTGTCCAGAGCTGCACAAGTAGCAAAGTCAAGTTTCAACAATTTAATCACACACAAATTATTTCCTAGCAATCAAGTAATCTTAATATANTATGAAATCAAGCAAACAGGTAAAAATTGGACAACAAAAGAAGTAAAAATCTTAATATAGAGTCACCAAAATACGAGCATCAAAACTTGAATTAGGAAAGAGTAAAAATCTTAATATAGAGTCACCAAAATACGAGCATCAAAACTTGAATTAGGAAAGAGTAATAATAAATCTTCACAAAACAAGCAAAAACCAACAAAAGGGCAGAGGACATGACTACAGATGCTTGTGCAACAACTTTCATAAGCGGCAGAGTGGCCTTACAGCCTCACACAAAACAACGCAAAAAAAAGAGATCAGATTTTATCAGCCAAATACCTTCCAAGAGAATCAATAGCCTTACTCGACGAGATACCATTCTCCATCTTCCTCTGCCTTATCTTAATCCGAGCCAAGTAATCAGCCGCAATCCACGCAAAGCTCAGCATCACCACTTTCCCGCCATCATCCACCATCTGCATCTCCTTCGACTTTCTCAGCCACCTCTCATGGTACGTCACTTGATACCAAGCAGATGCCTTCTTCTCATACATCAAATTCTTCTCTGCATCCGTTAGACTGTCAAATTCTGAACCTAACGTCTCGAATATTTTCCGAAATTCTTTTCTCAGGTTCGTGTACGCATGCTTCAGCCTCTCCTTCAGTTCCCCTTGCTTTTTGCTCGTGTATTTAGGCATCGACCAAATATGTCCCGTCACAAGCTCTTCCTCTCTGTTCACCTTGTACTGTCCCAAAAGCCCGAGCAGCTGCCCATCATACGAGCACTTTCGACTCCATGCATCGTCAATAAAGTTCGCGGACCCTGCAATCTCAAGCGCACTATCGTAGGTTACGTTTTCAAAATCGAACGCACAATCGGAAGAAGAGGACTCGTAGCCTTTATCATAAGTGTCCTTAATTTTACGGTAGAGCTTGCCGAGAATTTTGGTCGATTTGTAAGTTTGGAATTCCTCTTTACCCATGAAGTCGGGGTACATCTTTGGCTTGAGCTCCGGGGGCATAATTACCATCTTGCCCGTTTTGGGGAAATCGACTGCTATAGCAGCAAGCTCGGCTAGTTTTACACACTTCTCATCGAGGGCGCCGTAGTCGCTTAAGTCAGCGTGGACCACGTGCGCGTTGCAGATGGCTCCGAGGCTCTCGTTCACCATGTTTTTTGTGAAAAACTCGATTATGTCCTGCACAAAAGGCTAACTCGATTACAATGAAGATCATTCAAAAAATAAAAGTCAATTTGCTTCGTAAGGTGAAAACATCCATGAAAATCTATGAAACTGAGACAATAAGAAAACACGACAGAACGCAGTATTACCGAACATAAACATTTTTCTTTTTTTCAAAATATTAAATCAACATACAAGCATTTTCAAGAAAGATATACACAAGGCGTACGATTTTACCGAATGCTTCACGTCACGCGGCAGTTTTTTTTCCTCGCCAGGAGCATACTCCATAGGCGTCCAGCTCCTTTTACTCGGAGGAATAAGATTCTGATCCCACGTCACAAAATACAAATCCCCGTCCAAATCACTCCCCGAAGCTTCATTCGGGTGGGGCCTTTCACCCTTCTGCGGAAAAACAAGGCAGTCGTATAAATGATGCAGCTCCGGCGCATCGACTGCCTCCAGAATTCTCACATCCCCCGGGTGAAGGCAAGGATTCTTTGCTATAGCCACAAGTCCTCTAACCACCTGCATTTTCCTATCATACCCCGAGAACTCCGGCCCATGGCCCACAAAACAATTCTCCAAACAAGGTGTTGACACCTGGACAAAACACTGCCCATGTTCGAGTACCCTACTCTCGTCCAGACACCCCATCAGCCACCTTCCGGAAGGAACAAATATTCTCGCTTTCTCCCTCAGGTCCCCGAGCTGAGCTGTACGAATGCTCGTCAGCATCCCCCGAAGGTGAGGCTCGGTTTGTGGCCGGAATCCGGCGCTTAGCATTATAGCAGCCGTATTCCCCTGATCGGAACACGAACCACTGAGAACATCGTAAGCCGTATCCGTGTCCTCGAGTATTCTATCAAGCCCCGAGACCATTTTCTCCTGCATTTCCCAGAACACGTTGTCCTTAACTTCCAAAGCCGACAAAAGCGTGACGATTTGCCTGTTCAAAAAACCCGGCTGAAACCGAGTCCACGAACAGATCTCAAGCGTCGTGTGTGCCGACTCGAATTTCTTCATGCTCGGCCGGAGATAAAGTCGGGCCCTGCCTTCTAAATTCGGCCAGCGTGCCACGACTCCCTTGTATCCCGCATACCTGATATGTGAGAAATCTTGTATTATTTTGTGATTTAATTTGCATACTTGAGTATTTGATTTAGTGTATTATTCAAGTTTTTTCACGTGTTTTATTTTGTGAACGGACATACACCAATATTTGGATTTTGCGTTTATTTTGCAGTTTAGGCCCTATTTGATCTTATGTCTATCGATGACGTGGCATTGATGAGATGGCAATTGAGAAGGCGATGATGTGGAATTGAATTTATTCGGCAAACATTTAAAAGAAAAGGAAGCAAAAAAAGGATTAGTACCTTATCTGGTAAGCGCATGGCGGGTTCGTGCTGAGCTGGAGCCGTTCGGCAACCTCCCGCGCCAGGTCATCCGTGATCATCCCGATCCCGTCCGAGAAAACGTAGTTGTTATTCTCGACGTCCTCGATCTTCGTGTCGACTTCGGTCAACGGGACGTTGACCGTGGCGTAGGTCGACGAGAAGCACTGCCCCATCCTGGCCGCGCACTTGGCCACCACTCGGTTAGTGAACCTCCCCATCCAGCTCTTGATGTCAGCGACTCCCGTGCTCTTGTGGTCCGCGAAGAACCACGCCGAACGGTCACGCAGCTGGTTCGAAGAGAACGCGAGGAACGAGTACTTTCGGCCACACAGGTGGAAGCCGCCGGTCAACACATCTTTGACCCGCTTGAACATGGCGGTCCGTTGCGGGCCCGAGCCCGATGTGATGCCCCGGGCCATGGGGCCCACGTAGTAGGTGAGGACGTTTTTGTTGAGCGTGAGCATGGCCTCGTCCGTGAACGTGACCCGAAGGAAGCGGTCGGCCACGTCCTTGTAGTGGCGGAGGACACGATTCGAGAGCTCGACTTCCGGGGGAAGACAGTAGGCCTTGGATGGGGTTACTATCAGACGACGGACCTCGATAATGTCGGAGGATTCCTTCAAGGGCTGCTCTAGAAGCCTTGGATTACTCAGCAGCCATCTTTGGACAAGGCTCAGTGCACGGAGGGCATCGTGCACGGGACGCTTGTACGAGCAGATGTGCTTGAGGGCAGCTGTGTTGACTTCCTCAGTTTGACTTCTCAGCAAGTCAAAAAATTTCTCGGACATCTGGTGCTGGTTGATTATTCCCTTGTGCAAGACGGCGTTCACTAAGAAGAGAGTTTTGAAGGAGATACCCTCTCGGTATTGGATGCAGAAGAACTGGTCCGACATGGGCTGGCCGAAATCGGGCTCGTCACACACTTTAAGTCGCTCCCTCGGGCTTCCGTGGATAACCGGAACCCTACGCGTACGCAAATATTCCAAGGCATCTTGGAGAGCTTTCCCGTTTCGCGGCCGAACAGAGATTCGGTAAGTGTTGCATCTGCCGAGGGCCCCACTTGGCGTGAAATCGGTTGTTCGGATCCATGGGTCGTCGTCGTCCAACAAATCGAAAGGCATCGGGTCTCGAATATCGTCGTCCGCCGTTCGGTAGTAGACCAGAGGCGCTGACGACAGCTGGAGCAGAAATATTATGGACGAAAAATCTTTGCACTGTTTAATCTCGATGATTTCCCTAGGCATGAACTCAATCCTGAAGTCGCACCCGATCACGACAGGCTTAGCCTCGCCCGTGGCTGAGAAAGCCGTGTCCCTCGAGAACTGGAGCTTGCACCTCCCGTTAAACGGGTCAACGAGAAAGTCAACGCCCTTGTGAGGCCCTCTCCAGCCGACCAGAAGCTCCTCCCGGCTTCGCATGACACCAATCTCGACTAAAACGTCGGGCAATTTGTACGGTTTCGTGGTTCGTCTCCTCTGGCTCATGTGGTGCGGGTTTTCCGGTCCTAAACTGATTCTCAAGGGTTTGCCGCGAAAAACGAGCTTCCCACAGCCTGCCTTGTCTAGCGCTGATGTAGCCGAGCGTGCGACTACGAAATGGATAAAGGCATGGGGTTCGACTTTTTCGTAGTCGTCTTTGCGCTGTATGTTGTGTGTATCGATTTCGAAATTCGGGTACGAACCCGGGGGAGTGGATGAGGTCTTCAGCCGGCACCTCGAAACCATTCCGATTTCGTCTTCGAAAAAATCGACGAGCATGTCGGCTGTGGCTTTATTGTCCAGCCCGCCAACACTAATCTGAGTTACAATCATTTCGTTGCCACTGGGCTCAGATCCCATTATTCTTTATTTTAATTTGAATGAGTGGGAAAAAATGTTGAAGCTGAATATCTGCAGGAGAAGAACAGAACCTGCTGTTAGAGAAAACATTCTAAATAACTACAATGTGGGTAGGCACAGAATATGTAAGGGGAAACAAACATCAGCTGATCAGCACTACGTACTGCACGAATTTAAGGGAGTTACAGACTATTTGCTTAATTACACATTGATGTATAAGAATTGTAATATCAAGAACCGAACCATCTGATTTGTTTCATCAATTAAGAAAGTGGGTGCTGCTGGTACATTTGCAACTCAACAACAGAGCAGAAAGTAATCGATTTCTTTGTGAAAGCATTGGGGGTATGCAAAGAGTAAACTTTCAAAGTATCAAAACGAATTACTAAACTTATTGAAGCCCCAAAACACCAATAACTTAGTAGGCCTTTCCTTACGTTAAATCGGACTCCCACTTTCCGGTAAATGCAATTGACAACAATCAATAACTGAAATGCAAGAAATTTCACTAATAAAAAAGTTATCTCTGGGATTTCTAATTTGATCAAAAACCAAAAGAAAACAATTCACGAATATCGACTGATACATGGCACGGGTTTTTCAACTGTAGGAAGCAAAATCCACATAATTTCGAACCTGGGTAACTGAACATCATTAATCAGTGAAGGGAAAAACAGACAAAAAGATCTCTTCCACTCATTCACTTTTCCCATAATTCACTTCCATTGATCAAAAGCAAGAAAAGTGGAAAAAATAAAAAAATAATAATAATAATATGCACCAACTTCAAATCTGCAACTTACATTCAGATTAACTTGCGGGTAACGGCCAATTGAAGACAATACCTTACCCTGAAGAGAAAACTTTCAGTCGATTAGTCCTTGCAATTACAGATGAAACACGCCAAAAATGTGTTCAGCGAGTACAACTGAATTCATACACAGTGAAGGGATGAATAGTTAAAAAATGACAGCTTTAAACAAATTTTTGTTCATTTATACTAAAAACAAAGTGCCCAATTAAAATCAAAACTGCAAATTCTCCGAGACAGAAACTTTACCTTATGCTGCGATGGATTAATCAGTAAGATCGATGAACAACATTAATCGCTCTGCATACAACCGTTGTATTCAAGGGTGAAAAGATAATGGAGACAATAATCAGAGCACCGTATACGAAGAGCCGAGGAAGAGAAATAGTGAAGTGTACTGTATATGATTGAAGCTTCTTTTATTTTTTTGCTTTCTTTTTCCAAGTTGCTTGGCATTGATTTAAAAAATTCTGAAAAAGAAATGTTTGAATGAAAAATGTGTCAAAACTTACAAAAAAATTTTTTAATATAACGATAATATTTTTATTAGAATGTGAACGGTATAAATATAGTCTAAAATATAATAATTAATGTTGTTATGATAAAAAAAATATTAAAATAATAAATATAAATAATTGGTAGTTATAACTTTATATCTATCATAAATGGGTTAAAATATACTAGACAGATAGAAAAACACTAAAATAATAAATATAAATGATTCATAGTTACAACTCTTATTTCTATATCTATACAAATGGGTTAAACTATGCCGGATATATTTTGCCATCAAAATTATTTAATATAGTGAAAAACGTCATAATTGTCATTTTTGGATTTGTTTAATTTTCCTTCAATTATTGAGTTGAGTGTATGCCATTTATTAAAAAATGTGGAAGAAAATAATTTTACTATTATCATACTCATTTCTTTCCATAATCTTATAATTTGTTTAATTAACTAACAACATACCATGGTAATAAAAACTCACACGAAATTATTGTTACAAAAATATCACGATTGATTAATTTTTTATTTCGGGCCGAGCTATATACAACGGGTCGAAATTCAGGTTACCAAACGCATGATTACTCCTGGATAAAGCAGTAATCCGGTTCAATCCATCCAAACAAATAGTTGACCGGGCCGGGTTCGACCCGTGGCCACCTCTAGTGAAGAGTTGTGGATACTTGAAATAATTAAATGAAGCAAAATTAAGTTGACACATGAGTTATTGTCTCTTCCACAAATGATTTTTCCATCAACCTCTTTCAATATATATAGATAGATTTCGATATTTTTTTTCTCTGTATTGTGAAACTCGTAAGAGTTGGAGAAGCTGATAAAAAAAATAGTAGCTATATATATAGGATTCTAGTACTTTTCATAATATAAGTTTACTGATTCTCTTTCAAATTAATTGGTTGGGCAGATTTTATACTGCATAAAACGCGAGAACAAATTTGCAAGAAAATTGGGATCTGATATATTAGTATAAACCAAACTGTTTTTAAAAAAGTTGCATAAAATGCGTAAACAAACTATTTTAATTGGTTGAGCATATTTTATACTGCAACGCATGAACAAATTTGCAAGAAAACTGATTTTAGAAAATATTCTACTGTAACATAAAAAAAATGATCAGGATTTCTAGTTGAATTTCCAAACTAATGTGTGGACCATAAATGAATATAAATCTTCAATTCCAATTATTTAAGCACGTGATTACAAAATATAAATTTCAAACAACATTTTCATAATTGGTAAGTCAACCCTTTGATTCATTTTTTTTTTAGCTTTCCATAATTGATTTTACCATCAACCTCTTTCAATATATATAAATATCGATATAGATGTACGTTGCTTCAACATTGAAATCCGAACGCGTTATAAATATTTATGTATAGGGATTAGCAACTTGCGCCTGTAGCTCAGTGGATAGAGCGTCTGTTTCCTAAGCAGAAGGTCGTAGGTTCGACCCCTACCTGGCGCGTTTTTAACCATCTTTTTTTATTTCTTTATTCTTCCGCTTTTTAATACCTTTTCACTATTTGTAAATTTTAGTTTTTTACTTTACTTTTTCCCCTNATAAAACTCAAATGAGAACAAGGGTAAAATACAAGGAAAAACCCCAACTAAACCGGAAAGTGAAAATTATAAGAAAAAGCGGTCTAGAACCTCAACAATCAAACACAACAAACAAGAGAAACAACTAACAAAGAAGGATTAAGAGCCCAATCAGTGCCTAAGCTCCCTAACCACGCTCCCTAAACTCCACTAACCACGCTCCCTAAACTCCGCGTTTTCACGCTTTCACAATTTATTATCTTTGTCATTTCTTTTCTACCTACATATTTATATAATTATTATTTTTGTACTATATACAATCCGTATAATTAATTATTTATTATTTATACAATTAAATATTTATTGTCTCTTATATTTTCACTTTCTAGATATTCAACTACTACTAGTAGAGAAAACTGCAAATTTGGTCCCAAAGCTTTTGATGTTTCCCACATTTGGTCCCAGACACGCCAATTATGGTCCTTTTTGAATTTTTCGTTGTCAAAATGGTCTCACTCCGTCAAGACTTAACATCCAACGTTTATAGTCTGAAACCAAATGTGGGAAACAGCAAAAGTTCTGCGACCACATTTGTAATTTTCTCAAAGAGTAAGTGATAAAAATTATTTAAATTTATTTTTATTAGAAATATTTTTTAATAAGTTTTTAGTAAATGTTAAAAAGGTATATTACCATTCTTTCCTAACAATACATTTAGTTTATTTTTTAATAAATTATAAAAGATAAATATAACTAAAATACAATTATTTCACATTTTTTTATTGTAAATTAAAGTTTAACTTAATTTTTTTACATAAAATGATTATTTAATTGGGTAACTTAACAAAAGGTGTATAAAATAATTTTATTAATTAGTTCATGATAAATGAGATGCAAAAAAATATATGATATATTTTACTATAAATAAGTGGGAGAAAATGTCTATTTTCACTTAATTTAATGCCGAATTTTGTTTTATTATGCTTAAAATTGAATTTTTTTATGTAGATGTAATTTGCATAAATAAATAGATTTTTCAATTTATAGTTATCAAAATCAAATCAATAAATAAAAAATTATTAAAATAAAAAAAGACAGTAATAAAAAAATCGTTTAGATTGGGTTTTTTTTAATTCGTATTATTTTATAAAGTTTGTAAGGATATATATAAATTATCACATTATACTAATATTTAAAAGTGTAGACGGATTAGTATTATTGTAAGCATACACACATTTTTTCTTATTTTGATAAATTGGATTATGTCTTTTGGCTTGCTTTATTTAATTAAAATAATATTATTTCTAATTATTTTTTAATTTAAATAATATTCAAATAATTGTCAATATTTTTGAAGTAATGACAGTAAAAATATTAAAATAAAATAAATATCACTCAATTAGCAATTATATCGTTTACTTTTCCACCTCAAATTAAAATTTATCAACGTCCTTACTTTCCACCCGATATTTATGTTTATAAAATTATTTTTAATATTTATTTCTCGCATCGTATTCATAGTAAATTAATTTTATTATGTCATTTCGGCTTTGACTAAATGACATAGACTTGAAGAACTTGAATAACTCATTTTTTTTCTTTTTGAAAAATTGCAATTGGTCCAATCTAACGTTCTCACATGAGCCCCGTCAATCTTGACAGACGTGGGACCATTTTAGCAACGAAAAATAAAAAAGGACCATAATTGGCGTGCTTGGGACCAAATATGGGAAACAATAAAAGTTCTGTGACAAAATTTACAATTTTCTCATTATTACTACAAGTACTCTTTTACCTATACAATTAAACATTTATTGCCTCTTATATTTGCACTATGTAGATATTCAACTATTACTAGTACTCTTTTACACGTGGACATGGATAACAGGATAAGTGATGTCCATTTGATTATACTAATATTAAATAAAATTGAAATTCTATAACATAATTAAAAATTAGAATAAGTTATTGTTTATTATTGTACACAACATATCTTTCGATAAGTTTTTTGTATATAACAATATTTTTATCTTTTTATATTCGTCATTGTTAAAATTATAGATACCGGTTATTGTCGAAACTGTAATCAATAGTAAACTAGTATTCGACCTGTGCATTTGCACAGATATAAATAAATTATTGTCAGTCTGTATGCATATAATGATTACTTATTTTTCTTTCACTTTTTTGTAGACCAAATTTACAATTAAAAGAGTTGAATTTTTTTTTTTAAATTGCGTTTATCTGATTGGATGTAATGTATATTTTGGTACACCTTTTATTTGTGAATTATTTATTATTTATTTAGGAATTTCAAATATATTTTTATTTAAAAAAAAAAAAAAAAATTAAATGTAACAACAATAATAACATCTAATCACATTATACGGTCAGCACATTATATGGTCAACTGTCATTAATCAAAAGTTTAAAATGATTTTTGTAATTTTGAAGTGATGAGTATTAATTATTTAATGATTAAATGAAAGATTAAATACATCAAAATGTAAC